ATCAGCATTAGCATCAGCATCAGCATCAGCATCATCATCATCAGCATCCATTAGCATCCATTAGCATCCATTAGCATCCATCATCATCATCATCCTCATCACCATCACCATCACCATCACCATCACCATCACCATGATCATTATTATTACCATCATCATCATCATCATCATCATCATCATCATCATCATCATCATCATTGCCCTCATCCTCATCCTCATCCTCATCGTCTTTTTGTCTCACCATCATCCTCATCCTCATCCTCATCCTCATCGTGGTCGTCGTCGTCGTCGTCGTCGTCGTGGTCGTCGTCGTCGTCGCCATCGTTGCCGTTGTCGTCGTCGTCGTCGTCGTCGTCGTTGTCGTGGTCGGGGTCGAGGTCGAGGTCGGGGTCGTGGTCGTGGTCGTCGTATCGGCGTCGTTTGCAGGACGCCGGCGTCGTCTGTGAGGTTCAGGGCCACTCAGGGCACTGAGGGGGCCCACGTAGGGCCCTCAGGCTCCAGGGGGGCGGGGGGAACATCGATCTGGAATCGCCGAAACATCGCCGACCGATCGGCTCCAGGTTTTCAGACGTTTTGCGTCGGTTCTCAGAGATTTGCCAGCCTCTGGGGGTGCTTTTCGGCAGCTGCGCCTCGTCCAGAGCTTTCCAGGGGTGTCCGGGTCGACCCCGATCGGCCGCCGCAGGGCCGAGCTGTGACCCGACAACCGCCTTTAAGGGGGGAATTATTTTACTTCCTAGCTCCTTTTTTCTCCTTACTCGGTCTTCTCATACCCTCATCATCCTTCTCCTCCTCCCCTCCTCCTCCTCCTCCCTCCCCTCTCCTCCTACTCCTCCTCCTCCTCATCCTCCTCATCCTCTCCCCCTGCACCCTCCTCCTTCCTCCTCCTCCTCCCTCCTCCTCCTCCTCCTCCTCCTCCTCCTCCTCCTCCTCCTCCCCCTCCTCCTCCTCCACCGCCAGAAGCGCATGTTCCGATTGCGCACCAGGCAATGTGTCAAATCGTGCCAGTTTCGGCATCGTCTGCGAGGGACCGCCACTTCTTCTCGTCGTGGGAGACATCACGACGTGTTTTTCGTGTGGCCGTTTTCGGAATCCATGGTCCCTCCATGGGCCCCGGGACCGTCAAAAAACGACTCGGGATGAAAAGGCGGTCCAGTTCAAGGGGTCGAGACCTCCAGAACAATTTTTTGGGATAGAAACGCGACGTCGGAGTTCTGGGGAGGGCGTCGTCGTCGTCCTCGTCCTCGTCCTCGTTGCCGTCGTCGTCCTCGTCGTCGTCGTCGTTGCCGTCGTCGTCGTTTTTTGAGGAGGAGGAGGAGGAGGAGGAGGAGGAGGAGGAGGAGGAGAGGAGGAGGAGGATGAGGCGGAGGACGAGAAGAATGAGGAGGAGGAGGGAGGAGGAGGAGGAGGAGGAGTAGGAGGAGGAGGAGGAGAGGCGGGAGGAGGAGGACAGAGGGGGACCTCCTCCCTCTCCTTCCGCCTCCTCCTGCAGGGTAGGGGTCGCCAAACACCTCCGTCGCAGGACAAGGTCGTCGGCATGATCGGCGAGTGCCTGGCGAAGGCGAATTTTCGCGCTGCAGCAGTAGGGGGATGGGAGGGTGATGGAAGAGGAGGACGAGGTGGAGGGAGGCGGAGGAGGAGGAGGAGGAGGAGGAGGAAGGAGGAGGAAGACTAGGAGCAGCAGGAACAGGGGCAACTGCACGAGCAGCAGCAGCAGAAGCAGGAGCAGAAATAGGAGCAGCACCAGCAACCATGATGACGAGGTTCAGGAGGGAGGGGGAGTAGCAGCAGCAACTAAGGACAGGAGGAGGGGAGTGGCAGGATGATCTGGAGCACGAGCACAAGCTGATCAGGACGAGAAGCAGGAACAGGATGAGGAGGAGGAGGAGGAGGAGGAGGAGGAGGAGGAGGTAGAGGAGGAGGAGGAGGAAGACGAGGAACAGGAGTGGAGGAAGACCAGTAGGCAGAAGAGGAGGACGCAGATCTTGCAGCATCGGCAAGTGCATGGAATATTGGTGCGCGCGTCGACCCCTGGCAACGCAAAACTGGCATCCCATGGTGCTCTGGTGCACTGCAGGGACCGGCCTTGGCAGCAGACATGCTTTCCCCGAGCGTCCCTCCACGGGGGAAGCGGCCGTCGAAACCCGTCCGGGAAAGCGGTCGAAGCACTGGGGGCACCTCTCGGGGCGCACGTGCGCGCAGCTTGGCCATGCAAGACGAGCCACGGGCGTTCGGGCGAGATCGGGGCACCTCTGGGTTCTCTGGAGCTGAAGATCGGCGCAGTCCACCGCCGATGTGATGGGGCAGTGGCGCCCAATCGGCTGGCGGGCTTTCCAGGGATCTGTTTTCTGTCGATGGCCTCCCGTCAACTAAACTGAGCTGCAGGTTTCGCGCGGAAGGCGCGCCGGCACTCGACCACTTCCCAGTGACCTGCTCTGAATCCCAAGCCTCCATCTGACAGCCCCAGGGCCCGCGAGGTTCTCCCCTGTGGCCGAAAAGTCGTGATTTTTGCAGCGACGGGAGGATATGGGGGTTCATCGGACCCGATCGGGGGCCCCCAGAGACCTCTCGTGTGGTCCGTTCTGACCGGAAATTCGAAGCGGATCCAGCCGTGGCGACGAGGAACCTCTTGGAGGCCCCAACAGCGAGAAAACTCAGTTGAACCTCGATCCTCGACCCGCGAGGAGGTGGTGGCGGCAGTGCTGCTGCCACAGCGCGGTGGCCCTGCGCGCGCGCGCAGGTGCGCTCCGAGAAGGAGGCGGCCGTGTCGCGGGCTGGCGAAGAGGCGGCGGCGACGGACAGCCGGCTGTCGGAGCTGCAGGCCGGCACATATCTCCTCCTCCTCCTCCTCCTCCTCCTCCTCCTACTCCTCCCTCCCCTCCCTCCTCCTCCTACTCCACTCCCTCCTCCTTTCCCTCTCCTCATCCTCCCTCCTCCTCCTCCTCCTCCTCCCTCCTCCTCCTCCTCCTCCTCCTCCTCCTCCTCCTCCTCCTCCTGCAGGGCGTTGTTGGTGAGCGCTTGCGCAGGGCTCCCGTCGGGTGCTGCCACGGGCGGCACCGGCTGAGCCCTGAGATTGTTTTCGCCCGTTTTTCGGCCCCTATGGGGGCTCCAGACGGGCTCCGGGGGAGAGTCCATCACCACCCACCAAACCACCCCAACCCAACCCGAAGGCCTCCATTCACCCTCCATTTCCACTGGGGGGGGGGGTCGGGGAACGCTGAAGAAACACATGGGGAACCCGTACCCCCCCCACCCGAAGTTCGGGTCAGATTCGGGTCTTCGGGTTGGGTTGGAGTGGTTTGGTAGGCAGTCAGTCCAAGAGCGAGTCATCAGGATGGAAAGGCGGGTCCCGCGGGGCAAAGGGTCCTGGCTCGGGGTCCCTCGGCACCCCTGGATCGTGCGAGCGTGTTGGGAGAGCAGCTCGGTGGCGTGCGCAGTGGAAACCCATGCCAAGAGGCACCCTGCTTGCCCGTAGCTATTGGCTCAATTCATTTTGGCCACATCAGGTTCGAGCACCGTATTTGTCCGAGTGATCCCTCATACCATTTTACTTCGGTGGAGAGGTATGGCGGTACTCGTCCAGGGTTTCGCGGCCGCTGTGCTGGCCTCCTTGTTTGGAGCGGGCCACGGACGGGGGTACCGCGGGCCAGCGGGGTGTCAGGCGATCAGCACGCCTGGCATGGATGGCGCCCTCGGGATCGATGCCCAGCTGATCCAGGTCACCGCAGGCGCAGACGAAAATTCGAGCAGGGCCTTGCTCAGCAGGCGCGTCGCGTTCACGATCGAGCTCGAGATCCGGAAGAAGTTTGGGACCAGCATCTTGTTCCCTGGCCAGCTGTCGATTGCGAACGGCCTGATGTCTGATCTGGAGGCGCAGGCGCAGGCCCGCATACGAGCTTGGGACAATTCGTTCAGCTCGGCAACGGTGTCTGGCGGCGCCGCCACGGTGATGCCGTCTCCCGAGAATGGCATTAACCGGGCCTTCGCATTGCTCCCGGTCACCGGAATGGCGTATATTGCCATGAACGCCAGGTCTGATTTGCAGGCCGACCTCTTGAATGCCTTCGAGGGCTTGCAGTGGGGCGACGCTCGCCCTCACCAGCTGTTCATCGCGCAGGGCAACACGCAGGACACGGCAATCAACAGCGACCAGTCGGTCACCGGCAAAGGAGACCCCCACCTGGTCAACATGCGCGGGCAGCGCTTCGACCTCTACCAGCCGGGCACCCACGTGCTCCTCCAGGTCCCCCGGCGCGCGACGCCGCAGGACACCCTGCTGCGGGTGGAGGCCGACGCGCGGCGCATGGGCGCGGCGTGCGCCGACCTGTACTTCCGGGCCCTGAACATCACGGGCAGCTGGTCCAACCGGACCGGGGGGCTCCAGTACTCCGCGGACCAGGAGCCCGACGGCCGAGGCTGGAGGAGCTTCGGCGCCGTGGACCTCAAGGCTCGGCCAGACATAAGAGTGGCCTTCCGCAGGAGTGACCTCTGGTGCGGGCACGGATGGGTCCCTACGTGGCCGGAAGCGAAGCAGCAGCAGCAGCAGCAGCAGCAGCAGCCGCCTGCGCGCCCAGGTTTGGTCCCCCCGCGGCCCCCCGCGAGCCGCGCACCAGAGGTCACTCTCACCCAGGGCCACTCCTGCGCATGGCCGAAGAGGTGGTCCGCGGCCGCACCCTGTCGGGCATCGCGTATCTCAACGTGCTCGCGAGGCACCTCGGCCGCCTGGCCTGCCCCGTCGGCGGCCTCCTCGGGGAGGACGACCACACCGCCGCGGCCACCGCCGGCCCCGAGTGCAGCGCCGGCCTAGACCTCCGCTCCCGGCGCCCCGCGGGGGCCGCGCTCGCCGCGGCCGAGGCCTGAGCGGCCGAGGCCGCCGAGGGCCGGACGAAGGGGGGGGATTGGGAACGGGGGGGCTACGAAATCCCCAGACCTCCCCCTCCCCCTCCTCCTCCTCCTCCTCCTCCCTCCCCCTCCTCCTCTCCTCCTCCTCCTCCTCCTCCTCCTCTCCTCCTCCTCCCTCCTCCCTCTCCTCCTCCTCCTCTCCTCCTCCTCCTCCTCCTCCTCCTCTCCTCCTCCTTCTCCTCCTCCTCCTCCTCCTCCTCCTCCTCCCTTCCCTCGGACCGCGCTGGGAACAAGGCCCCAGACCTCCTGGAGTCATGAAAAAATCACGACGGGAGGTTTTTCGCTATTTTCGGCCTCTGAGGGCCCTTACCGCGCCTCGGAACCGTCAAAAACGACTCGGGATGAAAAACCAGTCCCGGGGAATGGGTCTGGACCTCTGGGGGTCGCGTCATGAAAAAAATCAGGACGTCGGGGGTCTGGGTCTGCTGCATGCAGCTGGTTTCGGCCCCACCGAGGGGCCCACGCCTCGATACATATATATATATATATACACATATATATATATATATATATATATATATATATACGTGGCCGCCTCCGGCGCCGGGAGGCGCCAGGAAAATCAGCTATGTGAGCTGATTCTCCCCCCCCCCCCCTTTGCTATCCCCCCCCCTCGCCCGACCTGGCCGAGGCCGCCTCCGAATTCCCGCAGGGCCTCATGCGCGGGGGCCGTCTCGCGAGACGGCCCTCGCGCAGGCCTTGCCTGGGTTCCTCTAGAGGTCCTCTGGGGTTCAGTCGGGCCTGCCCCTGCACAGGGGGAAGGATCCAGAGGCAGAGTTGTAAAAACAGTCTGGGGGGGCGATGTTTTGAGCACGTTGTTTTGCTATGTTCGAGGACTTTTGTTGGGGGCCCTTCGCCGGAGTGGCCTTTGGTGGCGGGCCCGCACCAAGGATGGGCCTGTTTTCCACCACCAGAAGTTGGAGGCAGGAAGGATGACGAGGAGACAGGAGGAGGAGGAGGAGGAGGGGGAGGAGGAGGAGGAGGAGGAGGGAGGAGGAGGAGGAGGGAGGAGGAGGAGGAGGAGGAGGAGGAGGAGGAGGAGGAGGAGGAGGAGGAGGCATGTTTACGTTTACCTCCCCAAATCCGCCTGCGTGGGGGGCGCGCCCGACTTCACTCTGCAGAGAGGCCTCCCGTTCTCCCCGTCGGCCGGCCGGGCTCTCACGTGGCCCGCCCGACCCGCAGGCGCCGGCCGATCGTCGCTCTGCGCAGGTGGCGCGCTGCTCTGCGCTGCGTGTGCTGATGGGCCTGTTTTTTCCACCACCGCCATGATTAGGTATGGCGGGGAGGGGGTCCTCCTCCTCCTCCTCCTCCTCTCCTCCCTCCTCGTCGTCCTCCTCCTCCTCCTCCTCCTCCTCCTCCTCCTCCTCCTCCTCCTCCCCCTCCTCCTCCTCCTCCCTCCTCCTCCTCCTCCTCCTCCTCCTCCTCCCTCCTCTCCCTCCTCCTCCACCTCCCCCTCCCCCTCCCCCTCCCCCTCCTCCTCCCTCCCCGCTTCTTTTGACAGCAACGCCCATGCCACAGAAGAGTGCACTGCACATGAAGGCCGCGACGAAAAACTCCACGATGGCCCACATGAGCAGTGCGACGTGTTGCGTCTCCACGAACAAAATATTGACCGAGCAAAGTGAAGGAGACCACGCCCAGGCTGACATACCATTCTCGTAATTGCTACCCCCAGCTTGAAATGAAGCACGCCACGGATCGACCAGTAAGCCACATACAACACATCGTCACGGAATGCGTCAGGAAACCCCGTACAGAAGATGCTTAAAAAAGGCGAGCCAACTCCAGTCCAGAAACAAAATTCATCAAAATTCAAGAACAGAACCGCCATACAGCCGTATCACCCACATATGCGTGACAGTCAGAACGTCGTCGCTGTCGTCGGAGTCAGACCCGCACAAGGATGTCATAAAACCGACACTTTGATCGAGGTGGCAAGCGGCGAAAAGGCGGCCTTCTCCAGGATCAGCAGGAAGACTGCACGGCACCCAGGAAGAAGACGCGATGGCCGAAGCCCCTGATGACAAAGCTCGACAGGCGGACGGAAAAAACCCAGCAGCGTCTCCAGCGCAGCTGTCCGCATCCATGTCCGCAGCAGGCAGCGGTGACCCCGAGACCACCTGCGGCACGCACGGCTCCTCGGAGAGGGGGACCAGCTGCAGCTCGACGTCCTCGCCCATTGTACCAGGCAACGAGGGCGACTTCCAACAGCCTGGCGCGCGCCACGGGACAAACACTGGGGCCTCCACGTTCCAGACGAACTTGGGCTGCACGCGGTCACCAGCCTCGACAGCACGCCCTTCCAGGCGGGGCCCCTTCTGATGAGCACGAAGCAGGTCAGCAGGAGCTGCGGACAGACGGCAACCAGGTGCAACAGCGTGAAGCGCCACGTTCCTGCGGAGGACGTCGACGTGGGAAGGAGCTCGGCCAGCCAGCAACGCGCCCAAGGCTGGCACGATGGCCAGGACCCTGTCGGCGAGGTCGGGGTCACCGAAGACGAGGCTGAACGAGTCCAGAAGCTGCTGATGCTGATCCTTGACCAGCTGGACCTCGGCCTGTAGCTTAGCCACGAGCCGGTCCGCCGAGGCGCGCGCCCCGGCCGCCCCACGGAGGGGGGCTCCCGTCACCATTCTTCACAAGCGGCAGCTCACAGTCCGGCCATGCGCGGGGCATGCGGGAAGCTGGGGGCTCGAGACCGGCTTGAGCCAAAATGGCTACGGACCTCCTCCCTCCCCTCCTCCTCCTCCTCCTCCTCCTCCTCCTCCTCCTCCTCCTCCTTCCCCCCTCCAACTTCTGGTGGTGGTGGTGGAAAAGAGGCCCACCATGTGCAGGCAATAATCTGTATGTCGTTTTGGACTACGGAATACAGGCAAGGATAATCATGCCATTTTGGGCTACTGACTATCCAGCTTGATTGATTTCAACTCGGGGGGGGGCCTCGTCACCGAGGGGTCCCTCCCGTGTCCGCCTCAACACTGGCCTTGCACCAGCACTACCGCAGCCCAGCTGCCGACCAAAACACACGCTGCTTGCCTCCAGGGTGCCCTGGGTTTCTTGGGTTTCGATGGTTTTGCCGTGGGAAGCGTGACGTTTCCACACCAACAATCAGTGGACGTACAGGGGTCTCAGGGCTGGTTGCCTTGTGGAAGGCTTCTTGTGGTCGAGCTCCTACTGCAGCATGTCGATGCCTGCGACGGTCTCCTGCGCACGCCCATCGAGTTGCCCGCGGCCCGTTTCGCCGTGCCTGTGAGATCCATGGGGTGTTTCCGGGAAGCACCTTGGGGGGCCTTCGGGTCATTTGGGGCGGGAGTGGTCGCGGGCATTACAAAGTCCAGGGTTGCTATGGACTAGTTCTTTTCCTCTTTCAAAACCGCCGAAACCACACCGAAACCCTCCGACAAAAAACCCTCCGGGGAGGGTTCCGGGAGGCTTTTCGGAGGGTTTCGGGGTGGGGGGGTGGAAGGGTTTTCGTCGTTTGGGTAGGAAACCAGTCCCTAGCGAACCCTGTGTTTTCTAACGCGGGCACTTGATTGGCTCACCCGTCTAGGCCGACATCAAAGGACCCTTGGTTTTTTATATCATGTTTTTGTTGTTGGCCCAGGTCCCAGGGCCCGGCAGAGCCTCACAGTCCCTCTATTTCTCACAACTGTGTGAGTCTGAGGGTGCTCCACTGAGAGCTCAAGGCACGGCGGCGCTCCCAGCAAGCGAACATGGTGCACGCGTTCGAACTTCCGGCCGTCGATGCTTGCACATGGATGCACGGCATTGCCAGTTAATGTATTGCAGTGGGACGGCGCGGCGTCGACGGCGACGACGAGCCACGACGACGAAAGACAGGAACGATGACAACGACGACGAGGAACGGCGGCCACCAGGAGGGACGACGACAAGGGACGACGACGACAGACGACGGCGAAGGAAGTCGCCGACGACGAGGGACGACGGCGAGTGGCGATGACCACGACGACGAGGCCGACGACGACGACGGCCGAGGGATCGGGGACGACGACGACGACGACGAGGACGAGGAACGACGACGACTGCGAGGGACGAGGGCGACGACGCGGGACGACAGCGACGACGACGAGCGTCACGTCTCGCGAGGGGCTCGGCCACGCGCGGGGCCCCAGAGGCCGGGCGGGGGCGGCGCCCCCGTGCCGCGGATGCTCCCCAGCCCCGCAGGCGGCGCGCGCGGCGGCCGAGGGCGGCGTGGAGGAGACTGCCAAGGCCGTGCAGGACGCCCTTCTCGCGCCACGCCGCCTCGCGCCCGTGGCCTTCGGGGAGGAGGAGGAGGAGGGGGAGGAGGAGGAGGAGGAGGGAGGAGGAGGAGGAGGAGGAGGAGGAGGAGGAGGAGGAGGAGGAGGAGGAGGAGGCCCCCGCGGCGGCCGCCGCCGCCGCCGCGGGCGCGCGCGGAGCTCGGGCCACCGATGGGGGCGGGGCTTTCAGGCGTCCGCCTGGGCCGCCCTGTGCACGCCGGGCAGGCGCGGCGCCCTCTGTCGCGCCCCGGGCTACGAAATCCCCAGACCTCCCCCTCCTCCCCTCCTCCTCCTCCTCCTCCTCCTCCTCCTCCTCCTCCTCCTCCTCCTCCTCCCTCTCCTCCTCCTCCTCCTCCTCCTCCTCCTCCTCCCTTCCCTCGGACCGCGCTGGGAACAAGGCCCCAGACCTCCTCGAGTCATGAAAAAATCACGACGGGAGGTTTTTCGCAATTTTCGGCCTCTGAAGGCCCTCACCGGGCCTCGGGGCCGTCAGAAAACGACTCGGGACGAAAAACAGGTCCCGGGGAATGGGTCTGGACCTCTGGGGGTCGCGTCATGAAAAAATCATGACGTCGGGGGTCTGGGAGGGGGGCCTTCGGGCGTGCGATCCTGAGCTGGCCAGCCCGCTTTGCCACCATCTTGCCTGCGTGGAGGGCGGCTCGGGGCCCTGCGGCAGGGCGCGGGGGGCATTCTCGCCAAAGC